AAGAAAAAGGTTCTTCCTTTGTACTCTTTAGTAAGAAGACAATTGAGAAAAAGAACAGGGAAAAGGTATTTGACAAAGGGTGTTGAATACATTTATTCAGAAGGAACTATTATACCAAGTCTGCCTGCCGGTTGTGGTTTACAGAATACGCTTCCATAAGCTATTACTAGCTTGCAGCCATTTAACATTTACACTACTGATAAGACATAAAGGGTAGAGAATTACATGCTGGATGTCAGATAGAGAACCCTTTCCAAGGGACGCTGATGTGCCTGTGAAATCAAGAACATCATCTATCAATTGAAACGCCAGTCCCTAAAAAACCAATGGAAAAGGTGGAAGTTAGCCCAAAGAATAACATGTAGAAATAGAAAAATGTAAACAATAAACATGGTCCACATGGATAAAGGGCATCAACAGTGTGTTGATGATTCTACAGCTTACACCTAAGAGTAAATAAAATCTCAGTTGCTCCACAATCATTCCATGTTTTATTGAAGATGGTATTCTATGGCCTTAAAATTATCTAGTATTACACTTTTGCACAAAGTGACCACCACTTCACATTTGGTTCAGCATGTTCTAATCAGAAACAAGTTGGCAATTGCATCAAAAACCATTGATCCACACGCATCCATTATAACTTAGAAAATCAATGAAAATGTATCAACTAAATGGGGGTTTTATACCGTAAAGAGGACAATGACAAATGTAAAAGAGTTGTTATAGGCTTAGTTCAATCTTCAGATATATTTATTTGCTAGTCCCTTTAAATGACCAGTCAGAAACTAGCATAACAGCTTATACCAAATTTTGTTGCGCTGCTCTTCATCCAACATAAAAGACAACCTTTAAACAGATTTACCTATTAATTAGTTTAGTAGATACGGTTTTATATTTATCAAAATTAGAGGAGTTAGGATTTTATAGCAATTAACATGTTTAACACCAAATATTCTATCAACTAAACAGGGTTCTAATCACTTGGAGGTTTTGAAGGGCCAAAGCATCATCCAAGTCTAACCCAGAAAGACATGTGCTCTAATCTTAAAGATATGCCTCAGCAAGTCTTGCAATTTACAATGGGTTGAAGTTAAGTGAAACATAAAGGAAATTACAAACCAGATGTTTGCCATATTCAAAGGCCAACATTGCAACTTCAGCTGTTTGCCCAGCAAGAAGGGCAATTGCCTTGCAACTGTTTGATATCAAGGAAGCAGTCTTGTAGTATGTCTTTTGCATGTAATATTCCATGCTGCGTAATGAAAAATTATTCTAACTTTAGCAAACTACAAGCAACAGATCCTTAAATTTCAAATCATAACAAGACAGAGTTACCCATTAGCAATCATTTGCATGGAAATACATAATCAGACAGTGAAAATTAAGGAACAATAGCATAGAGACTGCTTACACATTCCATAACAATCTATAGCTAAGAAAGCATGTGTTATCCACAAATATAAATTGTTTCTAATAAAGGTGGCCACTGTGTCAATACATAAAGTTAGTATTATTTAGAAATTACTATGCAAACATGTGGCTAATGGGAGACAGCAAAATTTACTAAAGTTTTAAGTTGTTGTGCAGTTACATTAGACTACAATAAGCTGTAACTATCGTACATTTAATAACTCAAGAAAAGATCAGCCCAACTATATGAAATAATATATACATGCTAATCAGGTGATCTAGCCTGCTGTTACCGTGATGGCTATCACAGGGCCTATCACAGTAATTAAATCAAAAGCAGTTGGAAAGTAACAAAACCTGGCAACAATTTGAAGATATAGTCATCAAGAGTTGCAGACCAGCATACCTACAACGCTGTTCAGATGAAGTGGTCATTTGCATGGTTTCACCAGTAACAAGATGTTCAACAACTGTTGCTAGTAATGATACAACCTACAACCGATGAATGGAGCTAATTTTCAATTTAGAGTTACATTTATCAAATTCATACACAACCGTGGAAATAATAATAATGATGATGATAAAATCAAAAGCACCTCTGTATTTTTTAGTGCAGCAAGGCCCACACAAGCTCGGGAAAGCAGAAAATCTCCAGCTAAAACAGCCAACTGCATTATAAAAGTTTTGAAATTACTAAAGCTACAAAGCTCTTTTGTCTGTTGCAAAAGAACAAGAAAAAGAAGAGTACCTTATTGCCCATTGCAGCATTCAATGAACTAATACCACGTCTTTTATCCGCATCATCCAAGACATCATCATGGAGGAGGCTTGCAACCTAGATGAGGAAATGTCCATGTTAGACTTAAGTAGCCTGTGAAGAAGCTTCAGTGCATACACACATATGATAAACAAAGTTCAAATAATAAGGAACTGACATGGATCATCTCCGTGATCTCAGCTATAGACTGTTGTCTTGTACGTAAATCAGTTGTCAAGGTATCTCCAACACCACCAGCAGTTGGTTCAGGTATATGAATATTCAAAGCTGTGGCCATCAAAAGCAAAACCTGCATAGAACATATACAATAACCATTTCGGAAAGTAATCAAAATTATAATTTAAAAACTAGGTCAATCTATCAATGGTTAGTTTCCATAAAGCAAATTTCTCAGATAAAAAGTAACAGACGTCAAGTTTATGTCTCATTCAAATGAATTTTTATTTGGAATGAATCAAGAACTAAACTGTGCCTATGGCATGCTACAAGTAGTACAACTATATATTTTTGGATGGTCCCTTTGCCTAGTGCAATCTAGAAGCAATGATGGAGCCCAGAGTCAACGAAAAAATTTCCATAACTCATCAAACTTATGAGAACTGCAATAAAGAAACGCTAGTAAACTCAGAGTTACCATATAGGTAACAAATACATTACCGTGGGACGAAATCTCTTTCCTTCCACCCCTAATTTGAAGAAGTACTCAGCAGCTGAAGCAAGCTTAGGAACCTGTATCAGATGGATATGCAATGTTCATCAGATGATACCAAAAAAAAATGCTTTCTCACATGAGAAAATGTAATAAACTTCATTCAAAAGACAGGAAAAAGAACAATAAGATACCTCAGCAACAACCATAGACCGCAACCTGTTAGCAACAAGTGACAGCTCATCAGCAACGAGTGAAAATGGGTCAAGTTGTTCCTGAAGGAGATGTATTGCCATCTTAATAGTGCAGTAAACAAAGACAAGATAAAAGAAGGGTAAAAAGGAAGAGAAAGGGAAAGGAGGGAGACAAACAACTAGCAGATCTTTGAGACCACAGGCACCAACAATTAGCAATAACAAGCATAACAGAAGGGAAAGTAATCGACTTAAGCCGAAGAAGAACTTGTTTTCATCTTTGAACATTAGAAATGTTAACACACTTGTGGATTATTTTGCAGAAGCTAACCATAAGCAAGAAATTCTGGACCCAGGGGCAACCATGTATCTTGTCCTAAAACTATAATGGAGAAATTAGGCAAAGGGAAAAAATTAGACAAATGAGCATTAAAATGATAACCTCTATGATCGAGCTGCTCTGATAATGAATTTGCCCTCCAACGCCATGAAATGCAGGTAAACCCCAAGAAAAAGTTTCTCTACCACCACAAACCTACTAATCCCCAGAAACAGTAACAAAAAAATGGAAATATGATCAGTAAATAATTTACCATCTCTATCCTGTGACACACATGATTAGGCAAAACAAAGAAAGAAAGAAAGAAAAAGAAATGCTGCAAAATATCTATTATCACATAAAACTCTATCCAGAACATAACTATAGTCCTTTCCGAGGCATCTTCTTGGTGGCTCATTTGATTCAGTCATCATATAACTCATTAGACACCGTGATCTATCCTTACCAATCTATACGTTCACTGTGCCAACTTCACTTTGACTAAAAATAGTAGCTTTGACCACCGAATCAATTCATGCTGGGCATAGTCACAACATCATTGCATTTCAAAACATGCTTTTAAGGACTAACCATTAAACCCCAAGCCAAGGATAAAGCAACAAACAAACACAACTCAACAGAAGAAAAAAAAAAAGAGTGACCTTTTATCAAACAGATTACCTAAGCCATTTCCCACTTAGCTTAAGTAATGTAACAAAGCAGAAACAGATGAACTCTTTTTAATTAATAAATTGAATAACTAACTACAACCCAACATGACAAAAATAAAAAATGAAAACAAAACTTAGCAACAAATGAACTTACGGACCAATTTCCAATTACATTTTCCAGCTGATGTCAAGGCATTACCTTTAGAGTAGAGTTGAGATACTGATTAGAAAGAAGGGATTGAGAAGGGCCAGTTGGAGGAGAAAGAATGAAACCGAACAAGCTCGTTCTGGGAATTCTAGAAATCCGAGAAAATCCCCGACAAAACAACATCCTCGTTTTCCTCTCCCTCTCTAACTATTACTTTACCAGTAACCCAAACGGAAGAATTACCCAGAAACTTAAAATTCTTTTATTAAGAGAAAATCTTTGGTATACGATGGGAAGCAGCCGAACCGACTTTGATTAATGTGCAGAGAGCAGAAGACGCGCACAGGAAGCACAGCTTCAGCCACGTAAACCTCCCAGAAAAAACCTTGGTTCATTTATTTATTTGCTTACAATTAGAACCTACTTTTTCTAACTAATTTATCAAATCCCAACTAATTACTGTTTTCTTTTTCTTTTGGTTTTTTGAGGTTAATCCCAACTGATCACTAAACTGTAGAAAAAGTCTATTATTTATTATAGTAATGAAGAGTTATTGAGGCCCAAAAGAGGACAACGAGTAAAGGTTGTTTTATATCTTTTCTTAAGAGAGTGGCAATAGGGCCATTAGTTATGAACATTGAAATGAACGAATTTTCAATATATAAATATAAAATTTTTATTATCTATTAATTTTATAAATATTTGGGCCTCAATAACTCTTTATTATAGCAACAAATGAACTTACGGACCAATTTCCAATTACATTTTCAAAAATACCTTGAAAAATATCATTCATTTTGTTTTCTTCTTTTATGCTTTGTAATTAATTTGAAAAGGTAAATATTCGAGTAGAAATTTGTATTCTCTCCCCTCTCAAATCCCAATCATTGAGAACAAAACAATACTTATGCTAGTAACCTTTTTGGGGATTTAGCATTAGTGATATGAAATAATTGTACAAAAAGGAAAAAAAACAAAAACTAAATGAGCCCTTGAATATAATATGATGGAGAAAGCTGGTAATCTGCTGTCATTTATTCCTTGCGGTGAGTATTTGAGTGAGATTAACGAGTGCCTGCCTTGACTTCCTTACATCCATGCTGCTGCTGCTGCTTTCAGGCAGAGAATCAATAGCTGCAGCTGCAAGACTAGCATGCTTTGTTGCTAGCTCTCTTGTCCTCTGTATTCCACGGCTCTTCCATAGGTACTCGAGAGCCTGTGTTCTCAAATGCATATAAAATTTGACAAATGTAAATGCATATTCAACAGTTTTGATTGGGTTCCAAAGCAATTCAAACTTACGGTGTCGACATTGGCAGGGTCATCGAAGCCCTGCTCAATGACAGCATGCAACTGAGGAAACTCTTCTATTGCAAATAATATAGGAGCAGTTATGATTCCCTGCAAAAAGAATTATGTGATCAATTATGCAAGCATGGTTCTGGCAAAACCAAATGAACTTCCATTCCATCAGTGTATGCACCACGAAAAAAGGGTTTTGACAAAATGGAATGATTTGTAGATGTGGTAGTTTGTATTCCTTCCAAACCAAACTCAGAAGACTTAACTGAACAAGTAAAGATGATTATTAACTGCTGTGTGCCATTGTCAAAATACAGATGCAAGGCCTAGCCAGCCCAACAGATGCATATGTTTAATGCTTTTTAAGTCTTATGATGGTGTAATATATCCAGAAACTGAGATAATGCAGCAAGGTTAGATGAATTACCCGTCGTATGTCAGATAGAGAACCCTTTCCAAGGGAAGCTGATGAGCCTGTGAAATCAAGAATATCATCTATGAATTGATATGCCAATCCCTGGGAAAGGAGTTAAAAGAATCAGACGATGGTGACCCAAACGAACTACATATAAAACATGAATCATGGTAAACATAGCAAGATGCCAGAGTTTTTTGTTAAAGGGAAATTGGCCATAAACGCAAGATGATTCCACTATAATTTGTGCCACTTATAACATATTTCTTATCAGGTAAGATAACTTTAGGAAATTTACAGACCAAATTTTTGCCGTATTCAAAAGCCAACTTTGCAACTCCAGGTGTTTGGCCAGACAGAAGGGCAATAGCCTTGCAGCTGTTTGAAATCAATGATGCAGTCTTGTAGTATGTCTTTTGCATATAATACTCCATGCTGCAATTATTAATGATTATTTTCACAAAATTAACCAGAAAAAAAAAGTTAGAATCAAATGTAGATATCAACAAAATTATATTAACATGCCAGAGATATGGACATGGCAATCAAAAACATATAAGAAGATGTGAGCAGTGCTCTGTATGTATCACCACTTTGCCAACTATTTATTCTTTACTGCAGACAAAGAAATTGAATATAGAAACTTGCATAAGTTTATTACGTTTTCTAACCAGAAAAAAGCAGTTTATTGGGTATAAATGTTTAAGTTTAAGCCTTCTGCAAGGACAAGACTATCAAATTCTCCACACCTGCTGGATAACTCACTCTGACTTTTGGGCAATTAAACCAGTACAACCCACAGCAGACAACTAGCCAAACTGGTTTTCTGGGGCTGTCTGAGCCAAGTCCAGGGCAGGCCTATCCCCAATATTTTTCTCTTTAATCACAGGTGTGGTTTAAAACATACGGATAAGCACAGAGAAGGGAGCATAAAGCTGTAGAGCATACCTACAGCGCTGCTCAATTGTGGCTGCCATTTGCATGGTTTCACCAGTAACAAGATTCTCTATTGCTGTTACTAGTAATGACACAACCTGCAGGCACATGATAATGGTGCAAAACATAGTTTGAACAACTAGATGAATGCATATGATTTCTAAAAATTAATACAATATCACAATCAATGGACAACAATTATAATAATGATTTAAAAGAATCAGATACTCTTACAAGGTCATATTGAAGAATTTGACTATCTGATAAAGTATTGGTGTGTACTGTCAGTTGTACACCACATAACTAGTCTTTGGCAGCAGCCAGACACTTGTATTCTATAATTCTTTATTAGACTTCCACAAACAAAAAGGAGCAATTGCAGCTTACAATGTGGCCACCATGCAGAAGAAAATAGAAAGCTGGAGGGGCGAATCATGAATAAGAAGAAGAAAGCTGGAACAATTTATTAAAAAAAAAAAGACATTGGATGTCACCAGCATTTTCTCGACATCAAATGTCATTGGTCAGGTCATTGAAGAAGGTTTCTACTTCTATCCTTCCTCTAAAGAGAAGATCAAGGAATAGATTAAAAGCACCCTTCCACATGGTACAAAGTGAGAAGGAGCTAACGTCCACATTTTCCTCATTTAAAATCATACATTTGCATATATAAACATATTTAAATACATATATTATAGCACAAATGTATGTATATGTATCTGTATATAAATACATACCTCTGTGTTTTTCAAGGAAGCAAGGGTCCTAAGAGCTCGAAAAAGCAGAAAATCTCCGGTCAACACTGCTAACTGCATCATGTAGATAAATAGACATGAATGAATGGTAAAAAAGATAAAAACAGGAGATATTACTTTTTGTTTACTACACAGCTCCATTTTGATTACTGTAAGATGTCTATACGTTGTCAGTTGGCAAAGGTTTTAGAATTGGGATCAATATCTGATGCCTCCATTAATATTTCCTTATCTAAAAAAATTCAATAAGATGACTGGGTGCACATTATCTCCCAAGAATCTGATCAACCACTTTAGCTTCTAAAAATGGTGAAAATTACATGCCAAACCATTTAAAAGAAAGGAATGTCAAGGGTACAGTGCAATGGTGTCAAATTGTTACTGTTGAACCAAGCAAGCACTTCAGTGGGACAGTCAATTA